GTTATCAATTGGATTAAACTAACACTACGTGAAAAGTGAAAAATTCAAGGGTAAAATTGATGCAATTAGAATTATAAGGAACAAATTAATACAAGAGGCAAACTACAAGGACTACAAGTATAATTTGCCATTCTTTAAAATATGTAAATCAATAGTGAACAAAAATCAAATAAACTAGGTTTTAACTTATACATACTTATTCTTTGGATCATCTATATTCATAAATACTGATAAATAAAGATAGTTACATCAGATTAAGAATTAAGCTGACAATTTGCATTCATCCCAACGTTTTGCACCAAGAACTCATCATAACATCAAATCCCTGAATTTCAGGAATAATTGAAGTCAGCACTTAGTGCATATCTTTTTGTACCAAATCACAAAACAAACCTACAATAATGTCTCCATTAACACAAAAAACCAAATGAATGCTGGTAAAATGAGAACAGCTTTGTAAAGGCAAACATTCTTGCCATGCTCCAAAATTCTCGTGTCTTGGCAAGCCAGTGGCCACAAAAAAATCTATTATAAGTTGGGCTTTACCTTTATAATCTACTCATCTAGGAGTTGTAAAGGTTGAGTCCAGGACAAGGGAATACATTGCAAATAATGCTTCTATAAAAGTATCTTGCAACTCTGAAGGTTCTCAAGTTTGGACGTACCATGATTGAAATGAATGTAATAATAAGCATATATATTTTGTAGAAGAATGATTTTATTGGAGGGGAAATCTATGATGTGCACCCCTAAAAAAGGGCACATCATAAAAAAGTTACGACTTTTTGTGGTGGAAGTTACAAATGTTTGTGGTGTGTTATGTCAATTTGAGATAAAAATTACTCCAGAAGATATACTTTTTGTGGTGAGCAAAACATTATACTTTTCGTGATGAGAAAAGTTATGTCATTTTCTGGTTTATGTCACAAAATATGTGGGTTGTTATGAAGGGCATACCATATGCACCCTTTTAAGGGTGCACGTAGTAGCGTCTCCCTTATTGGAGAACACTTCATAATTTGAATAAAATTTATAGGATATTGTTAAAGTTGAAAAATAGGAAGGCATGGACAAAATTTTGACAATATAGTACTTCTATTCTATCTGTGTAAATGCACTGGTTTGAAGTATTCTTGCAACCATAATGTATATGACCTTCAAGCAGAAAACAAATCTCTATGCCACTCCAAACACGTGGTTGGAAGTGGATTTTGTTTTCCATTGTAGAGAAGTCAATTTTGACAGAGTTAGAGGGAAACAATAAGTAGTCAGTTTTAAATAATTAAGGTTGTTGTTGGGACTCGGGATCAAGAAAGAACAAAGGAAGATTTCATGCTAAAATATAGAAAACATCATGTTTTAATTGAAATTAAAATTTCTATTAAAAAATTTCTATGATATGAACGATATGTCATTCAGTTACAAGAATTAATTTTGATGAGTATTACCTGTGTGGTTCAAGGCCAGATTCGTGAAGTCTAGACTTAATATCTTCTATAGCATGCAGGAAGTGGTTCATTGTTACTTTGGCATCCTTCCGGACGTGCTTCACTAGTCCCCTCTCCCCTGCCTGGACCACAACATATGAATGTACAGGAGTGACTAGAGATGCAATAGCAGATCCACTACAGCCATCCATCCTGTAAGCTGTGCAAACAAGCACATACACAATCTCATTACATAAATGATGAATTGACGTTTCCACGTACACAACAATATTGCTCAAACAACTTACCAATTTCTTGAATATTCACATCTTCATCGAGTACAAAAGCTTGTCTCATGTTCCTTGTGTTGATATCCAAAATTTGCAAGCACCCTCCCTCATCTGAGTACTCTAATTTGACATGTAGTTCAATTCTACCTTCCCTACAAGTAAATACAATAAACTAAATTTCTATTTTTTATTGAGTTAGAAAAATGAGAAGTTAATGAATACCTATTTTAATATATATATATATATATATATATATATATTTGTTTGGTTACCCATAAAAGATAAATATGTATAAATAACTCCATTTTTCTTTATTTGATAAATTCAAATTTTGAAAAACATTAGAGTTCAAAAGATGTGGGATATTGTTGAAAAAGAATAAAAAAATCAACAAAGAACAACACAAGGGATAGAATGTTACCTCAGTAGGGCTTCATCAATGAGCTCCTTTCTATTTGTGGTAGCAATAATAAAAATGTTGTTCAATACTTTCATGCCATCAATCTGAAAGGCGTGCAAATTTTCAAGTATTGCCTAGTCAAGGAGAAACAATAAAAAGGAAAAATTGAAAAAAGAAATATGAAAGATATTGACCATTGTTAGTAGTTGGTTTACAAGCCTATCATCCATATGGTGTTGTCCCATAGCTACCCTTCTTTTCTGCACAAAAAAAAAAAAAAAAACCAAAAACATATTTAAGACATGATTTATAATATAGATATGGAACCCAAAAACACCATTCTCACTCTCTCGTAATGGTTATGATTACTATTCTCATTGTTGTGTCCTCTGGCCTATATTTATGTTGCAAACTTGTCACAAATTGCCCTTCTAAGCCACTCAAGCTTGGTTTAGAGGGTTCTTCCACCTATTGTCAATCAGTTTTTGGTTGGATGCCTCCAGTATTTTTAACATGGTATTAGAATTGAGTCTTAAGTGATCTATTGTGGGCCAAGTCTCCACTCTAGGTGTCTTTATTTGGTTTCTCTAATTTCCACTTGCAGTTGGACCGCATGTTCAGGAAGTGTTAAAATTCGACCTCGTGTTCGAGAAATGTTACAGACTTGTCCCAAATCGCCTCTCTAAATCACCAAAGCTTGATTCATATTGTCAAGAGGGCCCCTTCACGTATTGCCAATTGATTTTGGGATGGACGCCTCCAATATTCCAACAATTTACAAGAAGATTGTGCTTTATAAAGAATCTTAGGACTTGCACAAAACTCCTAAAATTCTTTTTTTTACCTCCACAAGCGACTGTGCCGCATGTGCAAAAGTGTTCAGGACTTGTCACACATCATTTCTCTAAGTCACTCAAGCTTGGTTCGTATAGTCTATAGGGCCCTTTCACCTATTACCATTCAATTTTGGGTTAAATGCCTCCGATATTATAATAAAATACAACAAGATTGTGCTTAATAAAGAATCTTAGGGATTGCATAAAACTCTTTAATTCTTTTTAGTCTAACATTGCTTCATGCTTTATTTTGTTAAGAATCTTTCCTACCTCCTAGAATTAGGAAGGAAATTGAAGTTTTATATGTGGTTGTGTGGGTGATTTGAGGCTACATGAGCTAGTAAAGGAGCTTTCTGGGAAGAATGTTAGATTCTGAGATGACACTAGGTCATCGGATACTAGCTAAGTGAAAACAAAGATAGCCTTGGGAAAAAGAAAGAGTGAGGGAGTTGTTATAGAGGTCTAAAAGTGGAAAACCAAAACTATAAGCAAGAGATGGAGATAGAGATGGAGATGGAGATGGTTACATCACCTTCATGCATGGAGGTGGAGGCTATATTTATAGAAGGATTGGGCTATATTGGCCAACTCACCTAGTGGCTGGAATGGTGGTCACACTTGCTCGGATATGAAGCAATCACTTGTCTTTATCATGTTCTAGACTTGTCTTCATGTCGGGATCTCTCTAAGGTCGGTCAAGTGCAAATCCCTCCAACAAGAATAGGATGCAACATCTTCACAAATCCTCAATTCCAATAAACCAAGTCCAAAATCCCTAACAAGCTCACGCGAGAGTTGTTAGGTCACTTGGGTGGCACCAAACCCAAAGGTATCCCTAGGCTCTTCTATCGATCTAGACTGTCATGAGTGTATTAGGGTGATGGGAAAACAAGTGTAGAATCATATTAAGAGATGTACGTTTAGATGCAAACTTGGCTTGCCCAAGGGGGCCCAAGTGGATATGAGCGTGCCAAAGTGAAGAGCCCTTAATCTTGGAAGGAAGGCCAAGTGCACCTACAAGGCTCCTTGAAGATAGCCTCCTTCAATTTTAATATGAGAGATGCCACACCGTGCGGTGTGCAGAGGTTTTGGGATAAAGGGATCATATACTCAATACAACTGTCTTGGAGAAGTTATTAAGTACATGCAGATGTGATGATCACCTAAGGTCAGTCAAATGCTTCCTATATGACAATTTACTTTTTATGTGCAAAACAATTGAGCACCTATTATTTAGGAACTACTTTTTAAAAAAAGGTTTTTGGATGACCAATACCTTTGGGGTCTTTGGATAAGATACATTGCCCCTCTTACCCATTGTTTTCTGAATTCAAGACTTTTAATCATGAGCAACCTTTTTCATATAGAGTAGCATTTTGATGTTGACTGTTCACACCAATTAAAGCATAGGTTTTGTTTAAACCAATAAAAAATTTAGAAGTGGATAACAAGAAGAATTGCAAATAATAGAGCATAGAAAATAATGTCAAAATAATGCTAATTAATCTGGATTACGCACTCAATGGTGAATGCTTGTCTTAGAAAAGCATATTAATGTAGAAGCATGAAACTTGAGCCTTGTATCTTATCTTATTCTCAATGTTTCAAAAGATGAGTTACAAACTTACATTACATTTACTAAGTCTGGAGTATAGATCACTACTACCAAGAAGGAATAAAAAATAAAAAGGCATCCCACAAGCAACAAATTGGCCAGGTTATGAAATGGGAATGGAATGGAGGAGTAGAACATATAATACATGCAAATACAAGGAAACCAAAATGATGTAAAACCTTAATAGGGAACAAAGACTTGAATTATGTAGAAAACCTGAATCTGGTATTGTGAAATTCACATATGTACAAAACAAATTGCAGGTTGCACAACTAACAGCACTCAGAAAGAGCAAATGTTGTACATGTGCTCACCTTAGCAATCGAATCAATTTCATCAAATATGATGATATGTAGGTCACTTTTAGCTCATGAAACAAAAGATTAAAATAATCTCACTATGAGTATGAATGAACTGCACAATGAAGTGAATTTACAATGAAGATATGAACTGTGCGTCTTTACCATATCTGTTTTCATCCTCATTGGCTGCTTCAAAGAGTGACCTTATTTTCCTCTCCGATACACCTTGGAATGCATTTAACACATCCGGTCCATGTATAATCTGCATTAATGGAAGAAGAAAAAGAAGTGTCAAAATAAGATAAACAAGTAGGGAGAGAGAGAGAGAGAGACCAGGGGCTCTTTTGCATTTAGTAATTTGCAAATGTTTCGTGCTATCAATGTTTTTCCAGAACCTGGTGGACCATATAGTAGCATGCCTCTTACACGTTTCAAATTCAACCTAGCACAAGAAAGTCAATAGTTAATAACCAAAAGCTAAGAAGCGCAAACACGGACACAAGACACACTGACATATTAATTTTTAAAAAGTGCAGCATAACACTAATATCTAAAGTTTAAAATAAGGATTAATAATATGTATCCTCTAAGTAATTGTTCAAACTTATAATATGTTTCATGTGTCTAATTGATAGACATGTATGCCCTCCCAAATGTCCAAAGCGTCTTTGAGCCTAAAAAAATAAATAAATAAATTATATGACACATTAGGACACTTTCTACAAGTATCCCTTCACAACTTTATATTGATTTCAATACAGTTGCATTACAATTCTACCACAGCCTACTAACAACCAAGTTAACAATTACTAATCATTCTTTTACAAGAGTTGTTACAGTGAGCACTTTTAGAAAGAGACATATTGTTTGCACCTACCACAACATACGTAACATAACCATAACATTTCGTGACAAACACCAAAAAAATGTGTAACTTTTCTCACCAAAATGATTTGTAACATTTCTCACCAAAAATAGTCCATAATATTTACACCACACCGTTCATAACATAATCACAACATTCATAACATATCCACAATGGTTAGTAACTTTCATTTTATATTCGCTATTCCTAACTTTTACCACAAAGTGGTTCACCACAAAAATTCATAGCTTTTTTTAATGATAGAGAGTGTGCCTAGTAGCATTTTCCTTCTTTTATAGCAATACAATTTCTATACATTTCAAAACCTCATGCAAACAAACAAACTTTTGGGAGGAACAACTAACCGGTAATGCTAGTGAGTTTGAAAAAGCAATTTAAAAAATTATCAAAAAAAGAAGTATGTGAACTGTATGAGGGGGTTCAAGAACGTTGTTGGAAAATTCGAAGATCTTCGAAAATCTTTGAAGAAAATTCGAATTCTCTAGAAATGATGAGAGGCTTAGATTCTTCAACAGTCATAACTAGGAACACAATACCAAAAAGATGATAAAGATGAGAGATTGGGTGAAGAAGAAGGCAAAGTAATTAGAGAGAGAAAAATGGCAACGCTCTCCCATGGATCTCCCACTTTCACAAGAATGTCGTTAGAAAATTCAAAGGTCTTCAAAGATCTTTGAAGAAAACTCAAATTCTCTATAAATGATGAGAGGCTTAGATTCTTCTATAGTCACAACTAAGAACTCAAAAGCAAAGAGATGATGGAGATAAGAGATTGGGTGAAGAAGAATGCAAAGTAGTTAGAGAGAGAATAATGGCAAGGCCCTCACATGGATCTCCCACTTTCACTCTCAAGGTAGATAATGGAGAAGGGAAATCAATTCTTTCCCAAAAGTTGCCTCTCCAAAATCCATCCCTTGTAAAAGCTATGGGTGGGTGCTATTTATAAGCACCTTATGATGTAGGATGGAGCCCATGTGCAAGGCACATGGGGAATATTCTCTCTAACCACCTTGTCTAAAGAGATGACCTCTCCAAGGATGGGAAAAACCCTAAAGAGGAGATTAACCTCTCGACGAACCCTTCTTCTTAGCCACACCTAACCAATGATCCCCAATCATCCCAAAGGGTCAGGGGTAGTCTAAGAGGACGTCCTGCTGCAGAAAGGTCAAGGGTAGTTCAAGAGAACGCCCTGCCACAAATATTGCCGAGTGTTAGGGACCCCCTAGATCGTGCTACCTTGACCCGGGTATAGGCTAGTTTAATCGAAGAGTGAATTTATCTCCACTCACCGTTCTCGGGATCAGGTCCTTTGTTCGGACTCCATTACGCCCATAGTTCTGGTGCGTAGATCCTAGAAAGCTCCGAGCCTGCAAGTGTTCTGGGACTCATTAATGAAGCGGCTTCTAGATTGCGTCTGAATTCGTTCGAAGCCAAGTGCTTTAGATCTCTAGGTTCATGGATCCAAACCCTTTCGAGTCCGAGCTCAAATAGGTCTTTAGGTTCGTGGTTCCGAACCCTTTCAAGACTAAGCCAATACCTCGGAGACTGGATCTCCTCCGAGGGTTTCATCTCTTTTGAAAGTAATGGTTAACCTCTTTGGATGCCCGAATGATCTGGGCCTCCTCAGATGGGCTTGTTGGACTCTCTTTAGAGATATCTGCTTGATGGGTCTTCTTCGGCCCAATTTGTTGGTTTTCTCGTGGGCCCGTTCAATAGATTTCACTTGGGCCCATTTGGCAATAATTTCTTCAAGCTCACCAATTTTTGGGCTTCCGATAGGGCTTCGATTGGGCCCAATTAATTAGTGGGCTCAAGTTAACTCCTCTTACATGAACTAGTGACCACATCACACAAAGTGTGAATCTGCACCACACATTTATTTATTATTTTGTACAATTTAAATATAAAAAAAAAGGTACTCATATAAGTCTCTTTTGATAGAAATTGATTCTCTCTAGCAAGGCTGGAAGCCTCTATTTTAGGGAAAATAGATGAATATCAATTTGGATTATAATTTGAATGAATAGTTGAATTACCAAAGGAAATATTATACCTCTTTGCTTGAGAAGGAGAAACCATCCGTCAGCCAAATGCTGACTGTAGTATTTGAGCAAATTGGGAAGTCATACCTCCAATGCCAAGTGATAGTTGTTCTTCTTTCAGTGATTCCATATTGAAGCTTTCCCTAAATATGCTTTTAAATGTTTCAGCTCCGTGGATTAGGGTACCCTGTGATCAACCATGCCAACAACTTTTAAAATTCACAAATCATATTGACAGATAGTAGATAGATACATATCACTGGTAAGAAAGTAGCTAATAATCACCGTATTGGTTTAGTAAAAAAAATTTATCTTCACGATATAGTTATCACTTAAACAACATGGTATTAAATTCTTTATTATTTAAATTTATTATTAATTATCTAAATTGTATATATATTTCATGTGTCACCCATTAATTAGGCTTAAATTATAGGCCAATTTTGTGAAGTGGTTTATTTATTTATTTATTATTATTATTTTTTAAATGTGTAAAAAAATAAAGAGATTATGTAGCTTAAATAAGCTAATAAGTTAATTCTTTTTAGTTGCCAAAATAGGCTTATGTACACACTTTTCAAATGATTGTACTGTATACACTTTATAATTAAATAAAAAATTTACATAATTTCATATTTTTTTAGTCATAACTAAAAAAGAAAAAAAATGTCATAACTAAACCTAACGTGGAACATAACTAAAGAAAACATGAGTTATAACTAAAATAATGTCATAATTAAAAATAAAAAAAATTTAATCGTAACTAAAGAAGAAAATGACATAATTAATGGTGTATATGGTACACTATTTTTAAGGTGTGCATATTAGAATTTTCATATAATAATATATAACTTGTCAAAAAACAATTATATGTTGAAATCAATCTATTAGTCTATTTCTTGAAATCACCAAATTTGTCATTCAACACTCTATCGATTGAATATCACACATTTTTCTATCTCACCTACTGCCACTGGCCGCTAGTCACTATCACCGGTAACTTTTCTCACAATTTTTCTGGTCAATTTTTCTACGAAATTTTCAACATGTCTTTATCACAAAATAAAATTTTATCTTGGATCAAATGTTTTATACTTTATCTAAATAAGGTTTTTCACCAATTTTCTCTAATAATAAGTGGTCATGCGGGTGTTAAATTTGTAAAATATAAAATTTAATTTTAATTGAAGTATATATGTTTATTATTATTCAAGTGATAAAAAAAATATTATTTTCTAAATCAAAAGTTTTGGGTTCTAATTCACTGGGATTGTGTTTGTTACAACTTAAAAAATAATAATTATAACTTATTTTTATTTAGAAATTTATACCAGTCTATTTAATATAACTTTTACTTATAATTTATTGGGTAGACATAGATTTAAAAAAAAAAAAAGCTAATTATCTAAAAGGGAGGGGGGATGTACTTTTAACGCACTATTGTGTCAATATGATAGGAAATTTTCACTTTAGAATAGTATAAATAGATATAGATAATAATAGAGAAATGAATGTGTCAGAGACATGGAGACAAACACAAAAGTGCGAGTGACAATGAATGAATGTGTTATTTATTTACCAGTGATTGTGTTGGGGCTTCAACTATCACTTTCGTGCGCTTTCGGATCATCCCCTGCTTTGTGCTCCTCAGAGATTCACTCCCCTCATTCTCACCGAGAGAAATTTCCACGACACTGCATGCATATGAGCTTCCTTTATATGCAAATACCACCCTCTGATATTCAGTAAAAACCTGCACAATCCAAAAAGTGATCAATTTCAGTAAAAACCAGTGACTCTGCATCAACTAATTACTACTACTAGAAAAAATTCCCTCAAAAAACACTTGATGATGGAATGTGTTTCTAAATTCTCTCCCCAGGGTAGAAGCCGTTATCTGCAGAAAAATGAAATTTAATCAATATAATTACTTCAAAAGTTCCGTTGCTAAACTAGATTCATTTTAGATGTTGGTTATATATGGAATTGCATACCATTTGAGTTGGAGTTGAACTTTCCGGAAGTAATTCTACCATGATTCTCAATACATTTACATCAAACCCATTAGGAGGATGAGCAAACCTATAAAAATAAAATCAAAACAACTGCATAATTGATTATGTATGTAGGCTATAGAGCAGAAGCACAACACAACAGTAGATTGTACTTACACTTGCAAAAGGATGGTGTCCCCCAATGAAACATCAAGAGATTTGAAATGCACTGGATTCAGAGATATGTGGCCCTTTGGTACCTTCTCATCCTCTGTATTCTTTATTAGTTAAGGTATACACTAGCAAAATTACCCAAAATTTAAAACAAAAACAGAGAAGAGCTAATAAAACAAAACCAAATCTTTCTGTGTCTTTTGGAATCTGAACTAATGCAAGAATTAAGTAATTGAAAACTTCACTCTTTGGAGGATATTGGATGCTAAATACATTCTTGCCATTGAAAAGAGCAAGATAGAGCTTTTTCTTCTTCTGGATTGTAGTGAAAGGCCATGGAGGTCCTCGTCGAAAGCTCACAGCAAATTGGCAAGTGTCGTCTGGACAACAGTAACATAAATTAGTGATACACTGCTCCGAACTAGGATGTTCTACAACAACAAATGGAGCACTACTACTCGAAGCCATGGACGATGAAGAGAATGGCATGCACCCTTTCCTTGGGATATAATGTATAGAATACTAGTGATTACTTGATAGAACGAGATAACTAGTGCCCACTGGCCTCGGGATATAATATATAGAAAACGGGTGATTACTTGATAGAAAGCGATAACTAATGCCCACTGCAGCGTTTAAATTCACATAAGACAACAAATGGACACGTATCATGTTCCCATAGGCTAATGGAACATAAAGTCAAGAGAACTAAGTTTTGATTTAAAATTAAAAAGTGGAATATAAAGTACATAAAAATCAAGTGTTAAAAGTATTGTTCGACAAATCAATGGGTTCTTTTTAGTCCACATTTCACCACTTATGTGGGTTGCTTTCTAGTCCACATTTCACCGCCTATGTGGGTTTTTTCTGGTCTACACGTCGGATTGCTTTCTAATCTACATTTCACCACCTATGTGGGTTGCTTTCTAATCCACATTTCACCGCCTATGTGGGTTTCTTTCTTGTCTACATGTCGGATTGCTTTCTAATCTACATTTCACCACCTATGTGGGTTGCTTTCTAATCCACATTTCACCGCCTATGTGGGTTTTTTTCTGGTCTACATGTCGGATTGCTTTCTAATCTACATTTCACCACCTATGTGGGTTGCTTTCTAATCCACATTTCACCGCCTATGTGGGTTTCTTTCTGGTCTACATTTTGGATTGCTTTCTAATCTACATTTCACCACCTATGTGGTTGCTTTCTAGTCCACATTTCACCGCCTATGTGGGTTGCTTTCTAATCCACGTTTCACCGCCTATGTGGGTTTCTTTCTGGTCTACATTTTGGATTGGCTAGTTTCGAGCATGTTTTTGGTCTTGTTTGGACCTGCCTTAGAACTGTTTTAGGTCCCCTTGCCCCTTTGGGGCTTGTCTTGCATAGTCATGGTTTGAGTCCCTTGGCTAGTCTTAAGCTTTGGTCTTTCTTGCATGCTTTGGTTGTGTACTTTGGTTGGTTTGGCACCTTTCCATGCATGATTTCAGCGCTTACAATATATGTTACATGTCCATATTTGTCCACTTTTAAGTGCTCTTGAAAGTTTCCCTCTTATGCCTAGCTTATAGGCCATCACATGTGCATGTTTGTATGTGTTTTTGTCCATTCCTTAGCACTTTGGCCACTGATTTGGGCATGTTTGAAAGTAGCCCATTTTGGTTTAAGTCCATCTTACCATGTTGTTGCATTCTTGTTTCATTTTGCATGTTGTTGCATGCTATGCATGTTTGCATATTTAGGTTGTATGCCTATTGCATATTGTATGCTTGCATGCTCATGTTGCATTAGATTTGTCTCATGCTTGAGTTGTTTGCATGCTTGCTTGCATGCTTAGGTTGTATTGCATTATGTGTGCATTCCCTTGCCTCTTGATCAAGCATGATAGAGGTTGGCCCCCCTTATGTGTTCTATGCATTTCATTTGATATTGAATTGCACACTTAGCTCCTTTGGCCATCATGCATTGAAATGCGTGATTGGTGGCCCGAGGGTCGAAAACTACACACCTTTGAGTCTTAAACATGATAAGGGGTGTAGTTGTGCAGACATTGTCTTGTAAATGTATTGCCATGCTCTGTTTGTCCTCTGTTATAGCAACAGGAGCTTTTCACAGGAAGAAATGGTCAATCGACCATATTCAGTGCCGATCGGCAACAAACCCTTGGCCGATAGCCTTATATTTGGTCGATGACCAATTTTCCTTGGCCGATGGCCTTTCCATTTGGCCGATGGCCTCTCAGCATGACCATGAAGTGGTTCTGGAGCATCACAGAGACTTGTGCAGTCTTCAGAGGTGCAAAACAGTGCAAACAGAGGCAACATGAAACATGGCGATGGATTTCCGAGCAAAGCCGTCCGAGCATGCATGCATCCCTCTTTTCGAGGCCTCTTTACCGCTTTAGTAGCTTAATTAATTTGTTTAATTAGTTAAATGTTGTGTAATAATTAATTAGCTAGTTAGTTAGTTAATTAGTCAATTTGTATTATTCTTTCGGACCCTTCGTCGAGAGGGCGAACTTTGTAATAAGTGTGTGTGAGTGTGTGAATGTCTTCCAACCCCACGTCTTTCACCCTTTTACTTACCTGCTATGCTTGTATTATTG